CCGGTACGCCACGCATCAGCTCAACCTCTGGCCCCGTGTCTCCCTGCCGGAGACCTCGCCCACACTGCTGTGGACGGGGAAGGTTGGCGATGCGTCGCGTTTCCGGGTCTGGGGTGCTCGTGCCTTTGTCCGCGATACCACCGCGGACAAGCTCTCCGCCCGTGCAGTTCCCTGTGTCTTCCTTGGCTTTGTCCCTGACGCGCCTGGTTGGCAGTTTTACCACCCCACCTCGCGCCGTGTCTTTGCGTCTCAGGACGTCACGTTCGACGAGTCGGTTCCCTTTTACCGTCTCTTCCCCTACCGCACTGCCCCTCTCCCTCCCCCGCCGCTCTTCCTCGCTCCAGGTGCTCCCCAGGTCGACCCTCTCCCCGCTCCAGGTCCTGCTCCCTCAGGTGTGTCTCAGGTAGACCCTCCTCCCTTCCCTGCGCCGGTTGAGGTCACTGGTGACTCAGGTCCTGCTGGGGGTGGTCCTGCTCGGGGTGCTACTTCTGGGGGTGCTGAGTCTGGGGGTGCTGAGCCTGGGGGTGCGGAGCCTGGGGGTGCGGAGCTTGAGGGTGTCGAGCCTGGAGGTGCTGAGCCTGAGTGTGAGGGGTCTGGAGGTGCTGGAGCTGGTGGTTCTGGGGCTGCTGAGGGTGCTAGCGCTGGAGGTTCTGGAGCTGCTGGAGGTCCTGGTGCTGGTGGCGCTGGAGCTGCTGAGGGTGCTGGCGCTGAGGGTTCAGAGTCTGCTGTTGCGCGGTCTCCTTGGAGTAGCCGCCTTCGTCCACGTGTGCCACTCACCTCGCAGCAGCTGCACGACTGGTACGGTCGCCGTCAGGGTCGCGCTGCTGGAGCTCGGGGCTCTACTGCTGGAGGTACTTCTGCTGCCGTCCCTGGCGCTAGGAGTGGTGCTGGTACTGTTTCTACTGGAGGTGCTGGAGTCGCTGGTCCCGGAGGTGCTCGTACTGGAGGTACTGGAGCTGCTGGGGCTGGGGGTGCTGCGTCTGGAGGTGCTGCTGCTGGAGACACCGAGGCTGGAGACCCTGGGACTGGAGGTGCTGGTTCTGGGGGTGCTGCTGCTGGAGACGTGGAGGCTGGAGACCCTGGGACTGGAGGTGCTGGTTCTGGGGGTGCTGCTGCTGGAGACGTGGAGGCTGGAGACCCTGGGACTGGAGGTACTGGTTCTGGGGGTGCTACTGCTGGAGGCACTGGGGTTGGAGACCCTGGGCCTGGAGGTGTCGGTTCTGCTGCTGGAGCTTCTGGAGCTGCTGGAGGTGCTGGAGCTGCTGGGGGTACTGGAGCTGCTGGAGCTGCCGGTTCTGGTGCAGCTGCGCCGCCACGACTGTTCTTCGCTCCGCCGTCTCCGTCGTCTCTGCCGCCGCCTGACTCTGTTCTTCGTCAGGTTCTTACTCTCCCGTCGTCTACTGGTCTTCCGTTACAGCCTGGCTCACCGTTGCCTGCTCCTTCTCCTTACACTGAGCAGACGGGTAGTCTTGCTGAGCGTCGTGAGCCTGCGTCGCGTCCTGTCTCGCCTGTTCGTCCTAGTCGTACCGGTCGTCGTGTTCCGCGTCCGCGTTCGCCGCCTGTCCCCACCGCACACCTTGTCGTCCGTCGTCCTTCCTCTGTTCCGCAGTCTGTTTCTCTGCCGTCTCCTCCTGCGTCTTCCTTGCCTCACGTTCCGGACCCTGAGTCTGACCGGTTTCGTGCTGAGCACCCTACTGTCACGCGTCTGCTCGCCACTGTTGTCACTGACCCCTCGTTTGAGTCTGCTGCTGCGACAGCTTTGGTTGCCGAGCTTGTTGACTTTGCGGCTGCCTGTCGTCTAGACTACGCTGCTAGTCTTGTCGCTGAGTCTGAGTCTGTCTGTCCTCCGTCCGTCGGGGGTGAGTGTGCTCTTAGCACGGACGTCCTTGAGGACAGGCACGAGGACCTTGAGTGTCTTGCAGCCACTGCGCCTCATCTCGTGACCATGCTGCTTGCCCCTGAGGGAGACCCGGATGCACTAGACATCCCCACCCCGCGCTCGTACGCTGAGGCGGTCGCGGGTCCCTACTCCTCTCAGTGGCAGGCAGCCATGGACGCAGAGATGGCATCCTGGAAGTCCACAGGCACTTACGTCGACGAGGTTCCCCCTCCTGGGGCGAACATCGTCAGTGGCATGTGGATTTTCCGGGTGAAGCGGCCGCCTGGTTCTCCGCCTGTCTTCAAGGCACGTTACGTTGCTCGAGGCTTCAGTCAGCGAGAGGGGGTTGACTTCTTCCAAACCTTCTCCCCCACCCCGAAGATGACCACTCTTCGGGTACTGCTGCACGTTGCCGCCCAGCGTGACTACGAGCTTCACTCGCTTGACTTCAGCACAGCTTTCTTGCAGGGCAGCCTGCACGAGGAGATCTGGCTGCGCCGCCCACCTGGCTTCACTGGGTCGTTCCCTCCTGGTACCCAGTGGAGCCTCCGCCGGCCAGTCTACGGTCTCCGTCAGGCGCCTCGTGAGTGGCACGACACACTGAGGACTACGCTTGCGGCTCTCGGGTTTGCGCCCTCCACAGCTGACCCGTCACTGTTTCTGCGCACCGACACTTCGCTACCGCCGTTCTACATCCTCGTGTATGTCGACGACTTGGTCTTTGCCACTGCTGACACTGAGGCTCTCGCCCTGGTGAAGTCCGAGCTGCAGAAGAGACACACGTGCACAGATCTGGGTGAGCTGCGCAGCTACCTTGGCTTGCAGATTACCCGGGACAGAGCACGTCGCACCATCACTCTGACTCAGTCACACATGGTGCAGCAGGTCCTTCAGCGCTTCGGCTTCACCTGGTCCTCGGCACAGTCCACTCCTCTGGCTACAGGTCACTCGCTCTCAGCTCCACCTTCGGACGAGTCCGTAGAGCCGAGTGGTCCTTACCCAGAGCTAGTAGGCTGCCTCATGTACCTGATGACTTGCACTCGTCCTGACCTTGCATACCCTCTTGGCCTTTTGGCCCGCTACGTGGCTCCTGGTCGGCACCGAAAGGTGCACTGGGATGCTGCGAAGAGGGTACTGCGCTACTTGTGCAGTACATCGGGCATGGGGCTCGTGCTTGGAGGACGGCGAGAGGTGGTCCTCACTGGGCACTCAGACGCGTCTTGGGTTGACGACCAGGCTACACAGCGGTCGTCACAGGGTTACACTTTCAGCCTCGGCTCTGGTTCTGTTTCGTGGCGTTCTACTCGCTCGTCTTCTGTTCTCAGCTCCAGTTGTGAGGCTGAGATCTACGCCACCGCCATGGCTGCTCAGGAGCTGCGCTGGCTCACCTACCTGCTGACCGACCTGGGAGAGCGGCCTCGTTCTCCTCCAGTTCTGTACGTTGACAACAAGGCAGCCATTGCCTTGTGTGAGGAGCACAGACTGGAGCACAGAACGAAGCACATCGCTCTGCGTTACTTTCTGGCTCGAGAGTTGCAGCAGCGTGGTCAGCTTCGTCTTGCACACGTGGCCACTCGGGCCAACACTGCTGATATATTCACCAAGGCACTTCCGTCTGGTGATCATCAGCGCTTTTGTACCTTGTTGGGCCTTGTGCCTACGTTTCCACACTTGCTGTAGACTCTGCCTGTACTGTGATCTTTATATATATATATACCTGCATGCTTGCTCTTGCTAGGTAGTGATCACTGTACTTTGTTTGTTGCATATATACCTCTGCATGTGGACAGGCCTTGTGGCCCTTTGCTTGTGCTCAGTGTGTGTGGTGACGTTGTGATCCACCCTGAGCTTGTTTTGTTTCTCTTGACTGGTCTTGTGACCCCTTGTTCTCCCCCACTTTGCCTATGGGGGTGTGTCAAACTATGCATATTGTGTTTGTGTAGGCTGCTAGTGGGGTAGCCCATATGGGGTACAACCCAATGTTAGGGTTAGCTTATGTACCCAACTCTTGATCAATGCATTCATTCCTGCTGTCAGATTCTAACAGCGGCGCCACGACTTCAATGAGGTGGCATAATAATGTTTGAACAATAGTTCGAATGGTAAAATATATACCGTCATCACCCGGATATAAGACAGTGTTGAATAGTAGATAGGGTTTGTCTATTATACGGGTGTCTCTTATAAACAGGCTAGCCTCATTATAAGACACCTATTTGTGTGTACGGGTTAAGAAAGTGTAGGAGTTAGGGGCAAATGTATAGCGAGGGGGTATCTTCTAAACGGTTCTTTGTCCATTTATAAGATTTATAAGACACCCTAAACCATCCCGTTTACAAGATAACTCAAGCATTTTTGCCCGTGTACGAGATAAGACATATATGTCTTATATCCGGGCGATGACGGTACATGAATTTACCTACTGTTGTACTTTATCAACATTCCCAACGTGCAATGCGCAAGGCGCAATCGGTGGCCTTGTCAACGACGCCCACCCTGTAAAGATCGTGTCATGTCGACCGTACCGTACTGTACCGTACCATAAGTACATCCATGCCATTCCATGCCAAACAGTCATGCGGTTCACGATAAAGACTCCCACTCGAAATGTGATGGTATGGTGTGGTGTGCATCATGCCTCGCAAATTGTAAGTTGAAATGAGTGTGCTGGTACACCTTACACGTGTGAATTCTACAAATAATTTTATTTTTTGCAGATCAGGAAATGCTGAGTGGGTATTGTGGTCTCGCGGGGAAAGGCACTCCTTTTGTTTCTACTCATCGCTCTAACCCAACCCAACCCATCGTATCACCACTCAGCAATGGAGAGGTAAACCCTGTAACGACAACCAGCACATTCCAGCCTCCAGCAGCAGCTTGGTACCGTATAATCAAACTACATTCGTAATCACGGTATCCCACACGCACACACACGTCCTCACAACCATCCAAGACTGCTAGGGTACCAGTACTAAGCAAGCTAGCACACAACGCACTCATTCTTGGTGAACAAGGGGCACGGCGAGATGAGACGAGAGGGTCGAGACGAGGCGAGACGAGGCAAGACGCGGAGAGACGCGCGGACACACGAGGTGAGAAGAGGCTACTAATCCCAAAGAGCCTATGCTAGCTGCGGACTGCCAGTGCCGGCCAAACCACCAGCATCGGTCGCATCATCAGAAGCAGCAGCAGCAGCAGCAGCAGCAGCAGCACTGGCAGGAGCAGCACCAGCATCAGCAGCAGCAGGCGCGGGCGCGTGAACAGTGTTCTCATTCCACGTGAAGGTCAGGTGGTTCCAGTCGGGAAAGGACTTCCGAGCCTCCTCCAGAGCGCTGCGGCGCCGAAGCAGCACGAGAGGCTCGGGGTTGCCGAACCTGTCAGTGGCGGCAGGCACGGCGGAGACTGCAGAACGGTCGTAGCTGCCGTCTCCCCGGATGGTGCGAGGGTTCTTCCACCTCCACTCGAACTGGAAGGCTGGGTACAACGGACAGAGCAGGGTAAAGAAGGCAGGGGAGCGAGGGAGAGGAAGCAGTATTGGGTCAAGGTTGATAGATGGTAGTAGCTGCCGTCTCCTTGTATGGTGCGAGGGTTCTTCCACCTCCACTCGAACTGGAAGGCTGGAGATGATTCAAGAGGGACGGCGGGACATAGAAAAACAGAAGAGAGGGGAGAGAGGGAGGGGGGAGCGCAGGATGGGGTAGAGGGTATGCGATGCTGTTAAGTGCCGTCGCCTCGTGTGGTGCGAGGGTTCTTCCACCTCCACTCAAACTGAAAGGGTGGCAATGGTGAGGGATAATCGTGAGAGATGCAAAAGGACGGTAAGGAAGAGGGAGGAGAGTAGGGAGAGACGAGGGCAGGAGTGATAACAGGATGGGGTTTCGGGTTTGGAGGTTGGTCCTAGTTACCATTCTCTTGAATGGGAATTCGAGTGCAAACAAAGAAGTTAATTCTTGGGCAAACAAAGAAGAATTTCAAAGAATTTCATCCCAAGTACCTCAAAGTTCAAACAGAAAGGTAGCTTATGCGTTTGTTTGTATGTGTGTGCATGCACGTGTGTGCAAATGTGTTGTTTGTATGAGCGTGCATGCATGCGAGAGTGAGTGTGTGCGTGCGGGCGTGCATCTGCGTGTGAGTGTTTGTGTGTGCGCGCGCGCGCGCGTGCACGTGCGTGCGTGTGTTGTGTGTGTGTGTGTGTGTGTGTGAGTGCCTGCGAGCATGCGTGCATGCATCTGCGTGTGTGTGTGTCTGTGTGCGCACGCGCGCGCGTGTTTGTCTCTGCATATGAGCAGCATAAGCTTAAGTGTATGGTATGGTGGGTAGCTGCCATAGCCTCATGTATGAGGATGGTGAGACGCATAGAATGGTGCATGTGTCAGTCCCCCGGACCCCTGCTCCCCGGCTTCCCCCTCCACCCCCCAACACCTTCACTGCACATGCGTAGCCTTCCACTGCGCCCACCAGCGTCCACGGGCGCCCAGCATGTGCATAATGCATCCCCCCTTCCGTTACCCCCTCCCCCCTGCCCGCTTTCTTTCCCCTCCTCACCGTCACTGCACATGCGTAGCCTTCCACTGCGCCCATCAGCGCCCATCAGCGCCCACCAGCGCCCATCAGCGCCCACCAGCGCCTTTAAGACTCGAACACACGTGCATCCTGGCAAGCCAACCTTCCACACTTCCCCCCAACACCTTCACTGCACATGCGCGAGCCTTCCACCGCGCCCACCAACGCCCTCAAGACGGAAAAGAGGGTCTAACAAGCCGTCCCCCACAAGCATCCCACAGGCCCACAAGCCGTCCCCCTCCCTCCCACACATACTCCCCCCCTCCCTTACCTTCACTGACGTGCGAAAGCCCTCCGCTGCGCCCACCAGCGCCTTCGAGTCTCTCCGATCCCCGTTCCCCCGCTCCCCCACTCCCCCGCTCCACCTCCCTCCCACACATCCCCCCCTCCTCACCTTCACTGCGCGCGCGGAAGCCCTCCACTGCGCCCACCAGCGCCTTCAAGATTCCCCACGCCCCTCTCTCCCTCTCCCTCCTCCCCCGCTCTCAACAGCCCCTCCTCACCTTCGCTCCGCGTGCGGAAGCCCTCTACCGCGCCCACCAGCGTCCACGGGCGCCCAGCAAGTGCCCAGCGTTCACCACGCATACACACGTTCATCCCCCATTCCATTACGCCCTTCCCCTTCCCCCTGCCCGCTTTCTTTCCCCTCCTCACCTTCGCTCCGCGTGCGGAAGCCCTCTACCGCGCCCACCAGCGTCCACGGGCGCCCAGCGCGCGTTGACTTGGCGCCCCCCACCACCTCGCCGTTGTGCTGCTTCACACTGGATGGAAGGGAATTGAAAGTGGGGAGACGGAGAGGGGAGAGAGGGAGAGGGGAGAGGGGGGGAGGGGAGAGAGGGCGAGGGGAGAAAATAGAAAACTTGTTGACTTTCCAAACCCCACCACCACGCCGTTGTGCTGCTTCACACTGGGGGAGGGGAGGGGGGAAAGGGGAGGGCGGGGGAGGGGAGGGGAAGCGCGGTAAGATAGTGGGGAACGGGTTGACTTGGCGCCCCCCACCACCTCGCCGTTGTGCTGCTTCACACTGGGGGGAGGGGAGGCGCGGAAGGAAGTTAGAAGGGAGGGGAAGCGGGGTGAGAAAGTTGAGAACGGGTTGACTTGGCGCCCCCCACCACCTCGCCATTGTGCTGCCCCACACTGGGATGGGAGGAGGGAGGGGAGGAAGGACAGGGGAAGGAAGAGCGGAAAGAGAAGCAAGGGGAGACGGGAGGGGGGTTTAGCAAGTAGGAAACGTTGACTTCTGCTGCTTTACACTGGGTGGGGGAAAAGGGGAAACGGAAAGCACGAGCGAACGGAAGGAAGAGGAGAGGGGGAAGCGGGGTGAGAAAGTAGGAGACGAGCTGACTTGGCTTCCCCTATGACGACGCCACTTAATAGAATTCTCATAAGCGCCCATCTCACCTTGGCTTTCCCCGTCAGCTCTGCGCTCTCTCTTTCCGCAGTCCGTTTCCATCCATTCACGTCAGTCGCGCGCATTCCGTCCGCCTGCACTCGGACGTGAATGAAAACGGACTCTAAAGACTCTAAAAAGTCAAGAGACTAGAAAGGCCGTCGACTCACCGTCTCTGCACGTCCATCGTCACACCGACGTAGGTCTTCCGGCAGTCCGCCGAAAGCAGCAGATACACACTCCACGTCCCGCTGCCCTCCTCCTCCTCCTCGGAAGACGACAAACCGCCCGCCGCGAATGCCGCCGCAGATGCCGCTCCGGTTCCCGCTCCCGCTCCCGCTCCTGCTCCCGCTAAACCTCCCTTCCCCCCCGCTGCCCCTGCTCCTGCCGCTGAGGTCTTCCCGCCTCTGCTCCCCGCGCCCTGCGCTCCGCGCCTTCCGCGCACCCCCTCCTTCCGCGCGCCCTCCGCCCTTCCCCCCCACAGCCCTTCCAGTTGCTGCCCCAAGCCCTCCTCTCCGCCGCTCTTCCCCCGCTCGCGCCCTCGGCGGATCCCCAACCCGCCGAAGTCTAGCCCGGGAAATGCGCCGAGGCCGATGTCTATTCCCGGGCTGCCCGCACTATCCGGTGCGCCCGCGACCTGCCCGGGCGCGGAAGAGGTGAACGGGTTTTGCGCGGGCGGAGATGCAAGGGGCTGGTCTAGGGGAAACGGCGGAGAAGTGGCGGGGACTGGGGGTGATTGCGCGGGGGCGGATGCGGTAGAAGTAGAGAATGTGGAGGGCGGTAGTTGCTCCGGAAAAGGCGGGAGAAAGGGAGCAGCGGTAGGGGAAGGAGGCATGAACATAGGGCTAAATTCGAAATCGTCCAGCCCGTAACGGGCTAAATCCTCGTATCCGTCCAGCCCCCCGGTTCCCCCGGCCGTTCCGCCGTTTCCCCCGCCTCCTCTTCCGCTCCCCCTACCGTGTGAACCGCGCACGGCGGCGCAACAGCATAGCCTCCCCGCATGGGTTATCTGATGACGTGGATTAGAAGGATGATGTGGGAGTGTGGTGGCAATTATGGAGGTTCCTGGAATTGCGGGAGACGACGAGTGTGTGGGCTCGTTCGAACGAGACGGACGCGGGAGATGCGGCGGTTTCAGCGACGCGGTAGCCATGGCGGGGATCCACTGGCGACGGCTACGCGTTGTCGCAATTCGTGGGAAATAGGTGCGAGTGGAGAAAATAAAGATAGTGATTTGAGGTACCTGTTCCGCTAAACGATAAATAGAAACTAGCAAAACGGCTAGCAGAGACAGTACCGTACTCTTTAGCAAGGAGTAACAGATAGGTTCGCGGAGGGACCTGCCCAATTGCAAACGGCGGCTATGATCCCATCAGAAGCAGCTGCGCAAAAGCCACCTAACTTAGGAGCCGCCAAAACAAATATGAGCGCTGCTGCTGCTGCTGCTGCTGCCTCTGCTGCTGCTCACGACGACTTGAAAGAGCACACGAAAAGGGACTGGCGATACGCAGGTGCATAAAAATGGAGGATGAGCTTACGACTTGAGAATTGTTGAAAGGGAGGAGGATGGTGAAGCGGACGCAAAAAAAAAACCGCGACGCATGGAAGCATAGCAGCTTTGATCTGGAGGTGGGCAGTGATTTCCCACACTGGGGAGGGAATAGTAGGAAATCTGGTAAATCATAGTGCACCTTACAGAGCTTATGTAAGCATTTTCAGTTTCCGTATCTGCTGAATTCGGGTGTCGAAGTGTTGGCTTCCGTGGAACTTTGCTGGCACGAAGATGTTTGTGGTTGAGGAACCTGGTTGTGGGGACCACCCGAAACTCTCCACGGGTTGGTCTGTGTTGTGGGCTTGTGCTTGTGGTTGGAGGACCTGCGTGGTTGTCGTGCAGCGCGCCAAGGCAATGCTGAATTGTGAGTGGGAGAAATGATTGTGTTGGGAGTTGTGATTTGCGGATGACACAGCAGATCTGCCTGCCATTCCCTCGGATAAGGACACGAGCGAGGCCAATCGCCCACCACATCCAACACCGACACGCCTGCTGGGTATTTGTACTCCTTTTGATCAGTAGTAAATCGGAGGCATGTTACGGAAGTAATCCCTGGCCCTAGTTCATGTAAGATCAAGGACCTAAAGGACCTAAGTACTAGAGATGTTGTGAAAAAAAAACACTAGGAAATAAGGAAAGGTAATGCATTTCAAAAGGCAATTTCCTGTATGGAAATAAATTTGTTAAAAATAGATTTTGATTCAGGCACACATTTTCTTAGGTACATTCTCATCCTCATGGTAACAAAAATATCAACGTATCTGCTGCGATCAGAAGTTGATCGTGGCCTAGGATCTACTCTAGGATCAGAAGTTTGGTGGGCCCTTGACCTCAATAGCAGAGTGAATGTAAGATGCTTGAGATAAATGAAACATGCAAATACAAGGAATATAAATATGAGTACAGGGGAATACGAAACGACCTAACTAGCCATGTACTCTAAGGGGTACATTCCCTTATTCAAATTCATTCCCAACTGTGCGGCGCGTACAGTTTCGTAACTGTTCCCGCCAAAACCATCCTGCCTGAAGCTGCCCGATGCCATCTGCTCCGACGGTCCAGATGTGTTGTAACCGTCTGACTCTTCGGTTCAATTCCAACTGTCTGACGCTTCGCGTTCATTCCCGATATTGCCTGCTTCTCTTTGCTGCGGTGAGGAGTGTACAGTAATATCAAATATTACTATTCGTAACACCCCCCTTCACTCCTGGCCGTAGCTCGACTTGACCTGCTTGACCACGCCGCTGAGTTCGGAGCAGTGTTGATACTGCTGGCGTGGCAGTCGCTTCGTGAGGAAGTCTGCTGCCATGTCACCGGTCGGACAGTAGGTCAAGTTGACCTTACCCTTGTCCACCTCGCTCTTCACGAAGAAGTATCGCAGCGCAATGTGCTTGGTGCGATTGACGAAACCAGGTTTGTTCGCGATGCGGATCGCGCTCTGGTTGTCGCAGTGAAGGCGGAATGTTGGCGAAGCTGGAATTTTCGCTTCTTGCAGAAGCTCCTGCAGGTAGAGGCCTTCGCGAACTGCTGCGGTTGCTGCGATGAATTCTGCTTCGGCTGATGACAGGGCAACCAACTCCTGCTTCTGTGAATTCCAGGAGATTGGTCCCGTAGGCTCGAGTCGGAACAGGAAACCAGTCCTAGACCGTCGATTATCAGGATCTGCTGCGTGGTCGGCATCCACGTAGCCGACGAGGTTGAAAGATGGGTTGGTGCAGTTGAGTAGCACATGCCAATCTTGGGCGTTGAAATGAGGAATTGAAGGGCCCGCTGCAAGTCCAGAAGATTCTCAGCCGTTGGTTTGCGGGAGTACTGCGCAAGCTGACTTGCGATGTACGAGAGGTCTGGCCTGCAGGTGACAGAGGCGAAGAGGAGGCATCCCAGCTGCTGCTGGTAAGTCTGGATTCCAGCAGGGGATAGGGCTTTGTTGTCAGGTTTGTGGTTCGGTCCGGGGGTTCGGTAGGGAGTTGAGAGGGGTGCAGGTGAGATGTTGAACCGCTTCCCTAACTCCTCTGCGTACTTAGCCGCTGAGAGGTGAATGGCCTCAGGTGCGTAGGAGATGTTAAGACCCAGGAACTGCTTCACCTCGTAGTTGCACGTGATGTCGACGCGCCCCGCCAAGGCCTTCTCGAACTGCTCGAGAAGCTCGTTGTTCGAGCCTGTGTAGAGCAGGTCGTCGACATACACCGTGAGAAGAATGTATTCGCCGCGGAAGTCGCGGCGGTACATCCCTGGGTCGTGCGGCATCTGCTTGAATCCAATTTCAAGCAGGATGTTGTGCAGGTACTGCTGCCACAGCCTCGGAGCCTGCTTGATGCCGTAGAGTGACTTGCGCAGCTGACACACGCGCGAGTCGCCTTCGTCGTAGGTGTGCGGCTGTTCCACGTAAATCACGGCGTCCACTAACGCGTACAGGAACGCGTTCTTCACATCGATCTGGCGAAGTGGCAGGTGCCTTGCAGCTGCGATGGCGAGCAGAATGCGGACGGAGGTGTGGCGACTGACGGGGGCGAATGTCTGGTCGAAATCGATCCCATGCCTCTGGTCATAGCCGCGAACCACCCAGCGCGCCTTGAAGCGCTCGATCGTTCCATCCGCTGCAGTCTTCAAGCGGAACACCCACTTCCCCGAGAGAATCCTTGCGCCCTTGATTGCCGCGCGGTCGACGAGCACCCAGGTGTCGCGCGATTCAAGGGCTTTGATTTCCGCATCCATTGCCTCGCGCCATTCCTTGCTATGTGGCCCAGAGAGCGCCTCGCGCGGATTTCGGGGCTCGATGATGCGTGGCGCCTTCGAGGTTGCGGTGTGAAGCCCGAGTAGCTGCAGTCCTGAGATGGTGCTGTCGTGGCGTTGTTGCGGGACGACTTCCTGCACATCGTCGTCGTCGCTTTCAGGTTCAGGTGGTGCTGGTGGTGCTGCGCCTCTGCCGCCTGATCCGCTTCCGCTTGTTCCGCCCATTCCTCCTCCCGAGGAATTGTCGTCATCGTCGTCGTCGCTGCTGCGCCGATCTTCCCATGTGAATTCGGCCCTGGTGTCCTGCTCCAGGAGTGCTGCAGCGGCTTCGTCTTCGGGCGTTGCGTAGCTGTGCCCATTGTTCGCGTAGACGCGATCCGCGTTTCTCTGCTCGTCGTCGCGGAACTGGTCGAGGAAGAGGCGTTCGTAGAAGATTATGTCAAACTTATACACTATAGTCTGTGTAGGCTGTAGTGGGGTAGCTCATATGGGGTACAACATTCTAGGGTTTGGCACTTGTACTCCTCATGCTGCTCAATGCATTCATTCTCGTTCCAATTGTCACATGGTATAGAGCAGGTTCCCTCGTGGGAACTGTTCCTAGGGCCCACCGTAAGATTTTTTTTCCTGCCCGGAGCGCGCTCCGCCCCTGCCCGAGTCGCGCTCCCCTCCCCTCGCTTCCCTTAGCGGCCCCGTCGCGCCGCGCTTCCGGCCCCGGCGCCGCCTCTGCTGGCCCCGGCGCCCCCCTGTCGCGACCCCGCGGCCCCACCCTCGCGTCGCCCTGCGCGGCGTCGTTACAGCCGCCCGCGACCCCGACGCCGCCCGTCGCGACCCCGTCGCCCTTCGCGCCGCCCGCGACCTCGTCGCCGCGGCCGCCTGCGACCCTACCGCTGCAGCCGCCCGCGACCCTGTCGCCGCAGCTGCCCGCGACCCTGCCGTCGCCGCCGCCCGCGACCCTGCTGTCGCAGCCGCCCGCGACCCTACCGTCGCCGCCGCCCGCGACCCTGCAGTCGCAGCCGCCTGCGACCTCGTCGCCGCGGCCGCCTACCCTCCCGTCGCCGCAGCCGCGCGCGACTCCTGTGGTCGCAGCCGCCCGCGACCCCCCGTCGCCCCACCCGTGCGACCCCACCGCCGCCCTTTGCGGCCCCTTCGCCATCCCTTCGCGGCCCCGCCGAGCAGCCGCGCCGCCGAGACGCCGCCGCCGCCGAGCCGCCGAGCTGCCGAGCCGTCGAGCCGCCGAGCCGCCGAGCCGTCGTTGCCGCCGAGTTGCCGAGCCGTCGAGCCGCCACTGCCGCCGTGCTGCCGAGCCGCCGAGACGCCGGTGCCGACGAGCTGCCGAGCCGCTGAGCCGCCGAGCCGCCGTTCCTGCCGTCCCGGCCCTGTTCCTGCCGACGCGCCTCGGTCCTTCTCGCCTGTCCGGTAAGAGCAGCGCCTCCACCACTGCTCTGCCCTAGCCTGCTGCTCTCACTGCTAGTCTACTGCTGTCATGGCTTCCCCCAGTGTCCTCACTTTTGACGCTGAGGGTCGGGCCATTGACTTTGACGTCTGGGTAGATGACCTGCAGCTTTTCCTACTGAGCGACAGAGCAGACGGCCTCTCCCTTTTTGACCTCACCTCTGGTGCCTCTCCTGCCCCTGCTGCTGATGCTGACCCCACTGTTCGCTCCCAGTGGGCCACACGCGATGCTGCTGCCCGCCTTGCTGTGCGCCGCCACTTGCCGACCTCTGAGCGTGCGCACTTTAGCCAGTACAAGAGTGCTAAGACCTTGTACGACGCTGTAGTTGCGCGCTACTCTTCCCCTGCCACTGCTGCGCTTAGCCGCCTTATCCTACCGTACCTCTTCCCTGACCTCGCCGCTTTTCCCACTGTCGCTGACCTCATTACGCACCTTCGCACTAGTGACACTCGCTACCGCGCTGCGCTTCCTGCTGAGTTCTGCGCCAAGAACCCCCCCCCATGTACATCACCCTCTACTACATAGTCACCCGGCTCCCTGACACCCTTCGCCCGGTTAGGGACCACTTCCTCTCTGTTTGCCCCACCACCCTCACCGTTGACCTCCTCGAGGAGCGCCTGCTCGCGGCAGAGAAGAGCATAGTCGCAGTAGGTGCCTCTCGTGGTGACCCTCGTACCCCTGTCTTTGAGGGGTGCTCCCCCTCTCCCCTCTTGCCCTCTGTTGCCTCTGCTGCTGCGGCCGACCTCGTTGGTCTTGAGTCGGTCGCTGCGGCGTCTGCCCCTAGCGGGAGACGCCGCCCTGGCAAGGGCAAGGGGGGCAAGGGTGCTGGAGGGGCTGGAGGGGGCGGTGGAGGCGGAGGTGGAGGTGGTGGAGGGGGTGGGGGTGGCGGTGGGGGTGGTGGCGGGGGTGGGGGCGTCGGTGGCGGGACTGGAGGTGGAGGTGGAGGCGGCGGTGGCGGTGGGAGCGGAGGTGGCGGAGGTGGCGGTAGTGGAGGAGGTAGCGGCGGAGGCGGCGGAGCTGGTCGGGGTGGCGCTGCGCAGAGGGGTGGCTCCGGTGGTGGTGCGCGCCAGCAGCAGCAGCAGCAGCGTACCCGTGAGACCCCTTCCCCCCAGCAGCTTCGTGAGTGGTACGCTGCTCGTCAGCGGGGTGGGGGTGCTGGCCCCTGCACCTACGTTCTCCGTACCGGCGACCGGGCGGGTGAGCAGTGTGGAGGCCCGCACCCCACCCAGCGCTGCTTCGGTCGGCTGACAGACGCGTGGCGCCACCAGTTCCCCGACGCTACGGAGATCCCTCGCTGGGGCGAGCTGTCTAGGGCGGGTGTTGCAATCTATGATCTTGACTTTGATGCTATTCTTGCTGCCATGTATGCTGTGACTATTAGTGATGAGGGTGACTGTTACCGGTGTTTCCCGCCTGACCCAGGCATAGAGGCTGCTGCGCTAGGTACTTGTGAGGCTGCTGCTCTAGGTGCCAGTGCGTCTGCTGCCCCAGGTGCCGGTGAGTTTGCGCTCTCAGGTGCTGCGTCGCCCCCGGACACCCACACCTTCACCCTTGACTCGGGTGCTTCCCGCTCCTTCTTTCGAGACTGCACCACTCTCACACCGCTCAGTCGGCCTGTTGCGGTCTCCCTAGCGGACCCCTCTGGGGGTCCTGTCCTTGCTCACTGTCCTACCGTGTCCAGCGGTCCCGTCTGGCTCCCTGTCGGGTCTCTACCTCCCCTCGTTCTCTACGAACTTGGTGGCGGGTGCTGACCTCCAGGATGCAGGAGTTGACCAGTTCACCCCTGCGCGTCAGCGGGTGACCCACTGCACTTGTGCGGACACGGGCCGCCACTTGGCCACGTTTGCTCGTCGGCCAGGGTCGAGCCTGTACACACTGACTACTGAGTCTTCCCCAGTCACTGAGTCTGCTCAGGTAGCCGCGTCGGGTCAGGTGTTTGCTGCGGCGTCCAGGTCTGGTCCTGAGTCTGCCCCCTGCTCGTGTCGTCTCCTGTCTCACCGGACTCTCCTCTGGCACCACCGTCTTGGTCACCCCTCCCTGCCTCGCCTTCGAGGCATGGCTTCCCGTCTTCTTGTTTCTGGTCTCCCCCGGTCCCTCCCTCCTCTTCCTCCGGGGCCTGCCCCCACCTGCGTTCCCTGCGTCGAGGGGCGGCAGCGCGCTGCTCCTCACTCCTCCGAGTTTCCTCCGACAGAGGCTCCGCTGCAGACGCTTCACATGGACGTGTGGGGCCCAGCCCGCGTCCGTGGGCAGGGTCAGGAGCGCTACTTCCTGCTGGTGGTTGACGACTACTCGCGTTACACCGCAGTCTTCCCCTTGCGCAGCAAGGGTGACGTCACTGAGGTGTTGATCGCCTGGATCCGCGCGGCTCGTCTCCAGCTCCAGGAGAGTTTCGGCTCCGACTTTCCTGTTCGGCGTCTGCACTCCGACCGAGGCGGAGAGTTCTCCTCTGACCTTCTGCAGACCTTCTGTCGCACACGAGGCATCCGCCAGACCTTCACGCTTCCGGACTCTCCGCAGCAGAATGGGATTGCTGAGCGCCGCATCGGCATGGTCATGGACGTCGCTCGTACGTCCATGATCCATGCGGCTGCTCCCCATTTTCTGTGGCCGTTTGCGGTTCGGTACGCGGCGCATCAGCTCAACCTTCACCCCCGGGTCTCCATGCCGGAGACCTCCCCTGCTTTGCTGTGGACGGGGAAGGTTGGTGATGCGTCGCGTTTTCGGGTCTGGGGATCTAGGGCGTTTGTCCGCGACTTGTCTGCGGACAAGCTGTCCTCTCGTGCTGTTCCCTGCGTCTTCCTTGGCTTTCCCCCTGACGCGCCAGGCTGGCAGTTCTACCACCCCACCTCGCGCCGTGTCTTCGCGTCCCAGGACGTCACCTTTGACGAGTCGGTTCCCTACTACCGTCTCTTCCCCTACCGCACTGCGTCCCTCCCTCCCCCGCCGCTCTTCCTTACACCAGGCCCCCCTCCGGTAGACCCCCTCCCCCCTCAGGGTCCTGCTCCCTCAGGTGTGTCCCAGGTAGATGCAGTTGAGCCAGTCGAGGTAGCTGTTGACTCTGGTACTGCTGGTGGTGCTGAGCCTGGGGGTGCTGGGTCTGGGGGTGCTGCGACTGGGGGTGCTGGGTCTGTGGGTGCTGCGACTGGGGGTGCTGAGCCTGGGGGTGCTGAGCCTGGGGGTGCTGAGCCTAGGGGTACTGCGTCTGGGGGTGCTGCGCCTGGGGGTGCTGCGCCTGGGGGTGCTGAGCCTGGGGGTGCTGAGTCTCGGAGTGCGGAGCCTGAGAGTGCTGGACCTGCTCGTCCGGCGTCTGGTGGTGCTGAGCCTGGCGGTTCCTCCGGTGCTTCGTCCCGGCGGGAGCTGCTCTCTCCACAGGAGCTGCGTGAGTGGTTCGCCCGGCGCTGGCGACGTGCTGCTGGAGCTGCTGGTGCTGCTGGTGCTGCTGGTGCTACTGGCGTTGGTGCTGCTGGAGCTCCTGGAGCTGGAGCTGCTGCGTCTTCGGGTGGTCCGGCTGGAGCTGGAGCTACTGGGGGTGTTGGCGCTGGGGGTGCTCCTGGCGCTGGTGCTGCTGGGGGTGCTGGAGTTGGAGCTGCTGGAGTTGCGGGTCTTCCTGGTGCTGGTGCTCCCGCTGGGGGCGCTGGTGCTGTTCCTGCTGGCACTGGTGGAGCTGCGCGGCCGCGGCCGTACTTCGTTCCGCTCCTTGAGCAGGTTCTTGGTCTTCCGTCCTCTCTTGGTCCTGCTCCTGCCTTAGAGTGTCCGCCTCCTGTCCAGTCTGAGTCACAGTTACAGCCACCTTCCCCGCTTCCTTCTCCTTCTCCCTACACTGGTCCTACTGGAGGTCTTGCTGAGCGTCGTGAGCCTGCGTCTCGCCCTGCGTCGCCTGTCCGTGTCAGAATCACTAGGCAAGAATGATTGAACTAGCAGAAGTTTGGGTACAAATATGAAACCCTAGTTGGGGTTGTACCCCATATTGGCTACCCCACTACAGCCTACAAGCATAATACAGTTTAACACACCCCCATAGGCAAAGTGGGGGAGAACAAAGGGTCACAAGACCAGTCCAGCAAAGCAAAACAAAGCCCAGGGTGGATCACAACGTCACCACACTCCGAGCACAAGTAAAGGCCACAAGGCCAGTTCACATGCAGTGCTAGATATAGTACAAGACAAGCAACACAGTGATCAAAACCTAGCAAGCAAGCAACAAGATATATATAAAGTACAGTACAAAGAATGTCAAGCAGTGAGCAAGTGAGGAAACGTGGACACAAGGCCTAAAGAAGTACAGTGCCGCTGATGATCACTAGGCGGGAGCGCCTTGGTGAAGATATCAGCAGTGTTGGCCTTCGAGTCCACGTACACAAGCCGAAGCTGACCGCGCTGCTGAAGCTCTCGAGCAAGAAAGTAGCGAAGAGCAATGTGCTTCGTCCTGTGCTCCAGTCTGTGCTCCTGACACAAGGCAAGAGCCGCCTTGTTGTCACCGTACAGAACTGGAGGAGAACTAGGCCGCTCTCCCAAGTCAGTCAGCAGGTAGGTGAGCCAGCGTAACTCCTGTGCAGCCATGGCTGTGGCGTAGATCTCAGCCTCACAACTAGAGCCGAGAACAGAGGAAGAGCGGGTGGACCGCCACGAGACAGAACCAGAGCCAAGGCTGAAGGTGTAACCCTGTGACGACCGCTGCGTAGCCAGGTCGTCCACCCAAGAAGCGTCCGAGTGACCAGTGAGGACAACTCTGTCGCGTCCTCCAAGCACCAGCCCCATACCTGATGTACTGCACAAGTAACGCAGCACCCTCTTAGCAGCCTCCCAGTGCTCTCGCCTGTGTCTCCCAGGCGCAACGTAACGAGCAAGGATGCTAAGAGGGTACGCGAGGTCAGGTCGCGTGCAAGTCATCAGGTACATGAGGCAGCCTACAAGCTCTGGGTACGGGCCACTCGGCTCTACGGACTCGTCCGAAGGTGGAGCTGAGAGCGAGTGGCTGGTAGCCAGAGGTGTGGCCTGTGGTGAGGAGAACTGGAAGCCGAAGCGCTGAAGGACCTGCTGCACCATGTGTGACTGAGTCAGGGTGATGGTGCGGCGAGCTCTGTCCCGGGTGATCTGCAAGCCAAGGTAGCTACGCAGTTCACCCAGGTCAGTGCAGGTGTGTCTCTTCTGCAGCTCCGACTTCACACGAGCGAGTGCCTCAGTGTCAGCAGTAGCAAAGACCAAGTCGTCGACGTACACGAGAATGTAGAACGGCGGCAGCGACGTGTCTGTGCGCAGAAACAGCGACGGGTCAGCAGTAGACGGCGCGAACCCAAGAGCCGCAAGTGTAGTCCTCAGTGTGTCGTGCCACTCACGTGGCGCCTGGCGGAGACCGTAGACTGGCCGGCGGAGACTCCACTGGGTACCAGGGGGAAACGACCCAGTAAAGCCAGGTGGGCGGCGCAGCCAGATCTCCTCGTGCAGGCTGCCCTGCAGGAACGCTGTGCTGAAGTCAAGAGAGTGAAGCTCGTAGTCACGCTGAGCAGCAACGTGCAGCAGAACCCGAAGAGTGGTCATCTTCGGGGTGGGGGAGAAGGTCTGGAAGAAGTCGACCCCCTGACGCTGACTGAAGCCTCTAGCAACGTAACGAGCCTTGAAGACAGGCGGAGAACCTGGCGGCCGCTTCACCCTGAAAATCCACATGCCATCGACGATGTTCGCCCCAGGAGGGGGAACCTCGTCGACGTAGGTGCCTGTGGACTTCCAGGATGCCATCTCTGCGTCCATGGCTGTCTGCCACTGAGAGGAGTAGGGACCCGAGATCGCCTCTGCGTAAGTGCGCGGAGTGGGGATGTCTAGTGCATCCGGGTCTCCCTCAGGGGCAAGCAACCAGGCCACGAGATGAGGTACAGCAGCCGCAAGAGAGTCAAAGTCCTCCTGCCTGTCCTCAAGGACGTCCGTGCCAAGAGCACACTCACCCCCGACGGACGGAGGACAGACAGACGCAGACTCTGACTCAGCAACAAGGCTAGCAGCGTAGTCTAGACGACAGGCAGCAGCAAAGTCAACCAACTCAGCGACCAGAGCAGACGCAGCCGAGGACTCAAAGGTAGGGTCAGTGACAACAGTAGCGAGGAGACGCGTGACTGTAGGGTGCTCAGCGCGATACCGGTCAGACTCAGGGTCCGGAACGGCAGGCAACGAGGACGCAGGAGGAGACGGTAGAGGGACACGCCGAGGAGCAGTAGAGGGACGCAGAGTCATGTAGTGAGTGCCTGGGACAGGAGGAGGACGCTCACGACGGACACGACTACCAGTGCGAGCAGGACGAACAGGCGACGCAGGACGAGACTCAGGCTCACGACGCTCTGTAAGACCTCCTGTGGGACCAGTGTAAGGAGAGGGAGCAGGGAGAGGCGAGGCAGGTGGTAACTGTGACTGCGGCTGGACAGGCGGAGGACACTCCACGGAGGGAGGAGGACAAGGAGGAGGAGCCTGCCCAAGAACCTGCTGAAGGAGCGGGACGAAGTACGGTCGCGGCCGCGCAGCGTCTCCAGAAGCAGACGGGACTCCAGCGGCCGGGTCCTCAGCACCAGTAGGAGCTCCAGCGTCCGGGTCCACAGCACCAGCAGCAGCTCCACCGGCCGGGTCCCCAGCTCCAGCAGTAGCTCCACCGTCCGACTCCTCAGCACCAGCAGCAGCTCCACCAGGTGGGTCCGCAGCACCAGCAGCAGCGCCACCCCCAGAGTCGGCAGCTCCAACTCCGCTAGCACCGCCAGCGCCAGAGTCCCCAGCTCCAGCAGCTCCAGTCACAGTGCTCCCAGAACAGCCAGTCCCGGCAGCTCCAGTACCCCCAGTACGAGCACCCCCAGGACGAGCAGCTCCAGCACCCCAAACTCCAGCCGAGCCACTAGGACGGCGAAAGCGGCGGACGTACCAGTCGCGAAGCTGCTGCGGTGTGAGAGACTGCTCAGCACCCCGAACCGGAGCACCCCCAGACGCAGTAACCCGAGGCTCCGTAGGCTCAGTAGCAGCACCCCCAGGCTCAGTACCCGCAGGCTCAGTACCCGCAGGCTCAGCACCCCCAGTCGCAGCACCCCCAGGCGGCAAACTCTCAGGCACAGTACCCTCAGCTCCAGCACCCTCAGTCCCAGCACCTGCAGCCCCAGCACCCCCAGGCCCAGCACCCCCAGGCTCAGCACCCCCAGGCTCAGCACCCCCAGGCTCAGCACTCCCAGCAGCACCACCCGCAGCAGCACCTGAGTCACCTGTGACCTCAACAGGCTCAGCGACGGGAGGAGGGTCTACCTGAGAGACACCTGAAGGAGCAGGACCCTGAGGGGGAAGGGGGTCTACCGGAGGGGGACCAGGAGCAAGGAAAAGCGGCGGGGGAGGGAGGGGGGCAGTGCGGTAGGGGAAGAGACGGTAAAAAGGGACCGACTCGTCAAAGGTGACATCCTGAGAGGCGAAGACCCGGCGCGAGGTGGGGTGGTAAAACTGCCAGCCAGGCGCGTCAGGGACAAAGCCAAGGAAGACACAGGGAAGCGTGCGGGAGGAGAGCTTGTCCGCGGACGTATCGCGGACAAGGGCACGAGCACCCCACACCCGGAAGCGCGACGCATCGCCAACCTCCCCCGTCCAACGCAGTGTGGGCGAGGTCTCCGGCAAGGAGACACGGGGCCAGAGGTTGAGCTGATGCGCGGCGTACCGGACAGCAAACGGCCACAGAAAATGGGGAGCCGCCGCGTGGACCAAGGAGGTACGAGCGATCTCCATGACCAGGCCAATGCGGCGCTCAGCAACCCCATTCTGCTGTGGGGAGTCCGGAAGCGTGAAGGTCTGCTCGATGCCCTCTGCCTGACAGAAGGTCCTCAGGAGATCGGAGGAAAACTCACCACCTCTGTCAGAGTGCAGACGCAGGACAGGAAGATCCGTCCGGAAACGGCGGCGGAGCTGGAGACGAACCGTGCGGATCCAAGGGATCAGAACAGCAGGGACCTCACCCTTGGTGCGCAAGGGGAAGACCGTGGTGTAACGCGAGTAGTCGTCGACAACCAGCAGAAAGTACCGCTCACCGCCCTGACCACGAACGCGGGCTGGGCCCCACACGTCCAGGTGGAGGGTCTCCAGAGGAGCCTCTGTCGGGGGGAACGAGGAGGAGTGAGGAGCGGCGCGCTGCCGCCCCTCGACGCAAGGAAGGCAAGGCGGCGCAGGCGAGGCAGGGAGGGGAGGGAGGGACCTGGGAAGACCGGACACAAGGAGGCGACGGTGCATGCCACGAAGGCGTGGCAAGGAGGGGTGACCCAGGCGGTGGTGCCAGAGAAGAGTCTGGTGCGACAGGGAACGACACTCACAGGCGTGGGCCACCAGACCTGACGCAGACACCTGACCGACAGCAGCTACCTGGGGAGACGCAGTGGTCAGTGTGTAGAGACTCGACCCCGGCCGACGGGTGAACGTAGCCAGGTGACGGCCAGTCCTGGAGCACGTGCAGATCGCCACACGCTGTCCGCCAGGGGTAAAAGTGTGAACCCACTGATCCTGGAGGACAGCGTTGCTCACCAGGTTCGTCGAGAACGAGGGGAGGTGGAAACCCGACAACGAGCCAGACGGAACCGCCGGACAAGGGAGGACAGTGGTGGACTGGGCAAGGACTGGGCCCCCAGAGGGGTCAGCCAAGGAGACTGGGACCGGTGCAGGAAGCGGTGTGAGCTCAGTACTGTCACGAAAGAAGCAACGGGAAGCACCTGAGTCAAGGGTGAAGGTGTGACAGGCCTCAGCCGGTGCGGTACCTGAGAGAGGAGTCTGTGTGGGTGCTGTACCTGAGAGAGCAGACTCGAAACCAGCCGGGACAGCACTGGGGGGAGCAAGTACAGGGGGTACCATACCAGAGAGAGCAGACTCACTAGTACCCAGGGCAGCGGGCTCTATACCTGGGTCAGGCAGCA